AGTTTATATATTTTGTGATTCATTTTTCCGTATATAAAAATGCATTATAGTATTAATTTACTGTAATAATAAACTGTGTAGCTAATGTAATTTCCATGAGTTAATATATAAGTGCCGTCTGTGTATTTCTCATGTAATAGAAAACCAAGCTGAGAAATTACTAATGTCATTAGTTTTCCTCCCTACTCATGGTCATGTTTGTAATTTTTGTCTGTGTTTTTTGTTTAAATGATTTTTTTTTTTGAGACAGTTACCGGAACTGTATATTTTTGAATCAAATGATCAGATAAATAATGTCATTTTGTATCCAGTGTAAGCTTTGACATAGGTAAGAGCTAAAGGAGGGCGGTGTCAGAACTATCTACCATATAGTTCTTGGTGTGCAGCTATAGCACCAATGGGCTTGCAGGAGAATGTATGTGGTTCTTGTATGTCTTATTGGTTCCTGTTTTCTTCCGTTTTGGTGTCTATCTTGGAAATTCGTAGTGGTACAGTACAAATTGTTTGCCCATGTATAAATCCAGTTTGTCACTGTGTAATACTGTCCAGTTTCTGCAGCAAGAAGAGCCCAGAAAGCCAATTGTATCCTGGGCTGCATCAAGAGAAGCATTGCGAGCAGGTTGAGGGTGGTGATTCTCCCCCTCTACTCTGCTCGAGTGAGACCCCACCTGGAGTACTACCTCCAGTTCTGGAGCCCCCATTACAAGAGGGATGTGGACCTGCTGGAGCGTGTCCAAGAAGGGCCACCAGAATGATCCGAGGGCTGGAGCAGCTCTCCTACGAGGACAGACTGAGACAGTTGGGGCTGTTCAGTCTGGAGAGGAGAAGGCTCCGAGGGAACCTTACTGAGGCCTTCCAGTACCTTAAGGGGGCCTATAAGAAAGCTGGGGAGGGACTTTTGAAGACGTCGTGTAGTGATAGGACTAGGGGAATGGAGCAAAACTAGAAGTAGGTAGATACAGATTAGGTGTTAGGAAGAAGTTCTTCACTATGAGGATGGGGAGACACTGGAACAGGTTGCCCAGGGAGGTGGTGGAAGCCCCATCCCTGAAGTTTTTAAGGCCTGGCTGGATGAAGCTCTGAGCAACCTGATCTAGTGGGAGATGTCCCTGCCTATGGCAGTGGGTTTGGAACTAGATGATCTTTCAGGTCCTTTCCAACCCTGACAATTCCATGATTCTATGACATGTAAATACTCTTCTTGAAAATAGTGATAAAGTTCCAGGCTTGCTAATGATCAGAAACTGATACAACCAGGAAAATGGGAAAATTAGGCATACTTGCTAACAATAAAAAATGAAGAAAATGTTTTCCTAGGTCTGAATATAATCCATATCATTAGAACTAAGTGGAGACAAAGAAGAGGGACAGAAAGGGTTGGTTTTTAAAGGATCAAATCGTATATAAATCTGATTTGTAGTTGGACCTGAAACTTTCTACTATCTAATAGAAACCTTAGGAACTCTTCTTGAAGAGTTTCCTTAGAACGTTTGATGGTTACGAATCACAGTGACAGATCTACAGCTCTGCTAGACAAAAGATGAACATTGTTCATACTCAAACACAATCCGAAGGTGTTTGTCCCGTACATTGTTTACGTGGGTTAAGTTCTGTTGGAAGAATGATTTTAACAGGTAATTATCTGGCTTCGTGCAAACATCACTGCTAACTGTTGTGATGGTAACCAAGAAAGGTTGTACATTTCTAGTTTCAAAGCACTCCTTTAAAAAAGTTTTCCAATTGGTCTCTTTGTATCTATGGTCACTTCAGGGAGTAAGTTGGTGTCCTGCTCAGGATGAACTGCAAATCTTTCAATGGAGTGTAATTTCTGGTATTTCAATGACTATGGGAAAAAAATTTTACTTGGCTTATTCAGTGATTAATTGTTGCATTTTTCATTTAACTAACTGTCACTTATAAAAAGTCATATGTCTTTTCAGAGTTATCTGTTCACAGAACATGAACGTTTTTACAAGAAAAGTAATTTCCTTGCAGTGTTGCATTTTTTCCCCATAGTTCTTCCGTCTTTATTTTGGCACTTTCATCTATGTTCACCAGTTTCCTTACATTGTTTTTCTGTCAGGGCCTGCAATTGCTCAGTTAAATTTGTGTGAGATTTGTCTACAGCTATTTTGAATCCATGAAAAGATCCTGTCTCTTTCGTAAGCTAATGGCTCTTTCTGCCTTTTACACAAAGCCAAGTCATTGTATGAAATAGCAGCATAGAAACTCACTTATGTACTTTTATTTTGCTCTTATGGATTGTGATCTGGTAAACAGCGAGGAGGCAAACTTGGAATTTGTATTGTCTAAATAAAGTAATTTAATAATAGGAAGTTCATAAGCACAATATATGTTATTTCACTTGCATTCTGCTTTCTAAGTTACTTTGTAAATCAATTTAATATTTAGATTTGCATGAAACAAAAACATTCGCAGATTGTCCACGTATTTAATCACATGTTGCTCTATAGTCATGAAGAATAGGTGCCACAGGGAGTAGATTAGAAAGGCCATTTGCAGGGTTTTGTTTCCAAATGGTAATTTCCAACTTCACACATACCAGATCTCTTGTCCTGATTTACATATTTTTAGATGGCTTCTAAAACTAGATCCAAAAGTTTTCGACAGTAAGAGGCAAAATTAAAGCCTCTATACTACAGCCAGTTCAGGGTGTAAAAGTAGCAACTTGCCATTTTGGAAGTGACATCACTGTGCATGGGAAACACTGATTCTCTCTTCTCAGGTCTGTGAAAGTGACGGGCAAATACAATCCTTAGTGTCATTTCATTAGCAAAGATTATGAAACAGTAATTAAAACTTTGCTAAGATTAAAAAGGAGGTTGAATAAGTGCTGCATAATTTTTGTTGTGCTGAAGCTAGATCTTTAGTCCTTAAGCAGTGGTGAAACACGGAACAAAACAGATACATGCTTTGAAAAGAAGTTCCACAAAAGGAATTTATATTTCCTTTCTACACTGTATTTCAGCTATTCTTCTTTATGAAATGACAGGATTGTAGACTCCAGAAGGAAAAATGTTTCTCTGAAGTCACACATATATGCACATACATGTGCGACTTCAGAGAAGCCAGACTGGGACTGCACAAGTTAAGCCATGACTCACCAGAAGGTTAGCTGTCCAGGGAGTGCTTATAGCTGAGGCAGGACCCCCTCAGACTTCTTCAAATTGCTTAGTAAGCCCTGTAGCCAACAGCAGCACTACACTAACAGTGTTGCAGTGGCTCTTAGCTGACGGAGATGTAAGCAGGTCTTATGAGTGTCTTGCAATTCGTGCAGATTTAACACTATGTTATTTCAGAACTATTGCAACACCTTACCTAGTGACTTAGGGTCACTTCTAAGTTAATTGGTTTCATATTCTGTCATCCCTTCCTCCCACCAAGTTATCTTGGAGCTCCTTCAATGCAGTGGCTTTCCTGTGCAATCCAAAGTATTTTGTTCCTTGCAGAACTATTTCTTTCATACATTGCATAGCATATAACATGTAAATAATATATTCATCACATATAATTAGGATGTTGGGTCTCAGCTGAAGAAAAATCCCTATATTGATTTTTCTTTCCATGTGATTCTCTTTACAACTCTGAACTTACAACATATTCCTGTTGGTGCCTTGGAGTTTTTTCACATATAGAGGAAAGTTATCTAATAGCCAATAGCTGTTCTCCCAAATTAGTTTAAATAAAAGGTGGGGGAAGGGGAATCAATGCATCCAAATAAGGTGATCTGCTTGCAGTGATTAGGCCACAGAAATAGTCCTTCTCAAAGAGGTAGAATGTAGCATCAGTTATTACAAAAGTCTGAACTAATTTTGTTAATGTAAACATTGGTGTGAAATGGCTGCAGTCCCATCCATACTGCTTTTGAACAAAGGCAGACATATTTCAGTCTGGATTAAATAAAATGCTGTCTGTTTCTAATGTGGTTTAAAACCAGAGCATTTTGACCTGTTTGAAAGGCATGTTCTAGTGGACAATAGAAGGTGTTTATCCACCACAGTTTCTGTATGTTTTCTCTGATCAGTGCTAGCTGGGCATGTTGTGACAGAAACCTTTATTTTTCTGCATTCAGACATAAACAGTGTTTCCAGATTTTTTTCAAAGAACTTTTTTTTTTTACTAAATCTTGGGGTTTGATGTAATCATCTGTCCTCAATATCATCTGTCATTGTCCTGGAAATAATTATGTCCAGCATTTTCTGAGGAAAATAGAAAACAAAGGACTCCTAGATAGAAGGGACACATTTTCTGTTTTCCTTTTCTGCTGATTTTTTTTTTCTTCATTTAATAGACCATGTTTTCTTCAGTACTTCAAAATATTTCTCATCACTTGCCCTCAGAGGTGACCCGGTGACCTGAGAATCAAGAAAATGTCATGTTAGTGACTGCTAATTAGTGGATCCAGAGAGCTTCTTCTCCTGGCCTTTCAACCTTCCATAGGCAGCAACAAAGGCTGTCACATGTATCATAAAAAGAAAACAAGTGTTTGCCATGATCAGGGGTCCTTGGTTTGGTTTGGTATGATCTCAGATTTGGTTTGGGTTTTTATTTTGTTTATTTGGTTTGTTGGTTGGTTTGTGTTTTTCTTTTCGTAGGGTGTGGATAGTAGCACAAGCTCCATTGTGACTACAGATTGATTTCTAGGTTAGAAGGAAATTAACCTATAATACAGTGATTTCATTTATTTCTCCTTTTCCATGTATAGACATGGGTCTGTTAGGATGCTGTATTGTAGGAGAGAAAAGGAATGAATCCTTATTTATTTTATCTTTTTCTTATCTTTTTAAAAATATTTCTTTTTTAACTATTTCAAAATGTATTAAATATTCCTGAAAGGGAATATTTTAATGCTTAATTTTTAATGTACTGTGTACAGTCCAAGCCTAACTTGTCTTTTTGTATGTTTGTTGAGCAAACTTAACAGAAGATTCAGCCATGCTTCTCATTAATCACTGTTATACTGCACCTCATGAGTCATCATGGTTTTTTCAGGACCACCTACTGGAATGATCCTGGTAAAGTGTGCAGTCACAGCCATGTCACATAACTGTTTGTGCAAGTAACATTAATCTTTTTATTATTTCTATTTTTCAGGTCTTTAAAATAGAAGTGCTAATGAATGGAAGGAAACATTTTGTGGAGAAGAGATATAGTGAATTCCATGCACTTCATAAAAAGGTAATGATCTCTTTCTTTATAAGGTCTAACTTTGTTTTGCCTTAGTTGTGATGTTTTTGTCTCCCTTGAAATTGTTACTGTATATGGTTTATCTTAAATACATCTTGTGATTGATATCTCTGGAAATGAGTTCCCAACTAAGTTTAGTTCCTACTCTGTTTTTTGGAAGGGGATGATGACTTCTCAGATATTAGTAACTCTCCTTTTTGATTATTGTTTATGTGCTGTATTGCAAAACTGCTGTATATAATATATTTTTTATTCCAGTGAAATGACAAAATAAGACTCATTCCTTTAGCAAATAAACACAGGTTTGGTTTTCATCTGATCAGGCAAGTAATTTGTTAGTTCAGTAAGTTGTGTTGCTAACCTGCTGTATGTAAGGCTGAGAAAACAACTTGTATACACCAGGAAACTAGACATGAAAAAAAATTAGTAGACCATTTTGCTCTGCTGCTGTTCATAAAATGAATGAGATATTGGCTTAGAAAAAGCATTATCCTGGTGGCAGATAGGATGGATTTTGTCAGTCTTATATAGTGTACAGATATAAGCAAACTTGGGTCAACCAAAGGCAACTATTGACACATCTGTGTGTTGGCCATCAAAACTCAAGAAAACAAGAATATATTTTGCTTTACTGCACCATGATGAAGATGTGCTAGTATTTCCTGCCTTTTTGCTTCTCGCCCCAGTTGTGGTTCAAATGCTATTCAGTACTATACCTTATAGTCTTTTCCATGATTTTTCCAGGAACTTAGGTTAGAATAACAGGTCTGTATTTCCCTGGGTCTACCCTCATGCCCTTTTTGTAGATGGGATTAACAGTGGCTAGCTTCCAGGCAGTAAGGACCTCCCCAGACACTCAAGACTTTTAGTTAGATAGTAGAGAGGGGTCCTGCAATAACATGCACTAGCTCCTTCAGTACTTGCATTAATCCCATCGGGCTCATGGACTTGTGAACATTCTGCTGATACAGCTGGTCCCTTACAATTTCAGTGTCCTCAGATGGAAAATCACTGTTCCCACACTTGTGGTCCTCTGACTCAGGAGAGGGGCAGCTCAAAGTGTATCAGTATTATATAAGACTGAGGAGCACTGAATGTCTTTGCTTTTTCTTCTTCTCTTTGTTGTTGTCTAATTTCATTGTAATTTATGGAGTTGCACTATTACTCCATGCAAAAGTCATTAATGACTTCAGTCTCACTCTCAAATTTGTCTCCTTGTATACTCCTTCCTCTGCAGTAACTCTGTTTGCAGAGATTTCTCCTTAGAACACCAGAAAAAAAAAACCAAAAACATAAACGATAGTCCCTTTCTCTCTCTCTCTCTCTCTCTCTCTCCAGAAACAGCAGCAAAATAAACAGATCTGAAAAACAGCTATTTTAACCAGAAACTTTTCATCACTCTTCAATTTCATTTGTCTGACTCCTCATCTGCTTGCTGCCTCTTTGTGTTACTCTGAAAAGTTCTTGGTGACGTTTTCTTGTTTGTTCCCTGTACAGATAGAAAACGCACAACATATTTTGGCCACAATCTCTCTCGGTTTAGTTTTTGAAGTTGTAGTAAAATCTTAGTAAACGTGCTTGAACAGTTCATGCTCTGAACCTTTCTTGGTGCTTTCAGTGTTACAGAAACCCTGGAGAAAGCATTCTCTGGTAATGCAGTGTGAAGTTTCTTCCTTTCTTCTCTGTTTTGTGTTAGAGCAGAAAATCTTTTTAAAAAAAGTAGAGTGTAAATTTGAACAGTTTTTGCTGGAGAAGAATATTTTGAACATATATCTGAAATGTTCTTTGTGAACAGTTTATTCACGTCCTGTGGCGCTATTTATAATCAGGTGCAGATACGAGTTTGCTTTTGGCATGCTGATAGGGTATTTTTTTGTTCCTCTCTTCCACTTTAATTTAAAAGGTCAGTTTCACTCTAAGCTGAGTACCAGCAATTGAAAATGTATCTTTAGATATACTACCTATTCAAAATGCTCTCACTGTTGGAGAAGTCTTACTGAGCAGAAGAAATAGTTTCTGTAGTGGGCAGCTGTGATAGAAAATGGGAATAGAAGCTTAAATGGAGATTGTACCTTTTGGTGGAGAAAGACATGCTCCACTGGCATTGTATGGAAGAAGAAGGACTCAGTAGCTCATATAGGACTTTGTACATTCATCAGAATGCCAATTAATTTTTTAATTAATTTTGTGTTTTCTTTTGTTTTGTTTTTTATAACTAAGCCATTTCCAAGAACATGGCTGAATTTGCTTCCCAAGCTTAACCTTTACAACATCCCACTTGTGTAAAAAAGTAAAGCCCCACTTCCTCTGCAATCTGGCTGCCGTGGTACACTGGGAGCACAAATTATGCCCTTGGTAGAAATCATCCACTGCTATTGGCTTTTTTGAAATAGTCTGCGTAGGCCATTATAATTTGCCTGGTCATGAAGAGCAAAAGACACCTTTCAAGCTATGCACCATTCACATTACAGTATGGTATTCAAGGCTGAGGAAAATTTTATTTTTCTTATATGTAGAGCTTTTTAAAATTAAATTTTTCCTCTGTGTGTAACATAGTTAAAAATACATTTATTTATATTTTTCCCAAATTATTTTTTTTTATTTTTTTTCCCTGGTATTTTTAAATATTGGTAGTTCTTTTCATGCACCAGAACACTAGAAGGTGACAGTACAGTGTTAATACTACTGCAGTGAAATCTTAAAGAGTCTTAAGTTCTTGACATCTTGTTTAGAAAGATATTTATCATTATAGTTATTTATAATTTTAGAATTAAAACACTGTAGATCATATTGACTTTTCACACTTGAACAAATAATTCTTTACTTGATAACTTGAGTCATCTTTTAGTCATGCAAGAAATAGAGACTACATTGTGTCAGTGTTATGGACAGGAAGGTTATTACAGACAGTGATCGTCCTCAGATAAATCTGTATTGTGTAGGGACAGGTCTGAAGCAATGTAGCTAACACATACATAGATTTGCTTCATATTCTTTGGCATTGTAATAATTATTTCTTGAAATATATTATTGGATTATTGTAAGCATAAGAAAATGGGCTTATTCGTTCCTTGTACATCTGTATAGCCTGTGCTTTATACCTACACATAGTACCTGTGCTTGCCCATTTAAGCAGTTGCGTTTTGGATGCTTTATGTAGCAGGGCCACAGAGCACAAAAAGATTGTTAAACATCAGCTGAGGTACCAGCCACAGAGCATTTCTCTTGTAAGCATCTGGGCCTTGGTGGACGCTTGCATTGTTTCAGAGTTGTCTCCCCTCATCTGGAGCATTCTCCTCATTTGTTACTCATCCGCAGGGGTTGTCATAGTTCACAACAGCCGTGACCGTAACTTCTTCAGCATTCTTAACCAATTTTAGAGGAAAAAAAGGGAGGTTATGTTCTAGCTTTATGATCAGTTGATAAAAGTACTTGTGTTTGGAGTTTTGTTCTGGTGGCTTGTTTTTCTCACTTCACATTTAATTGTAATTTAACACTGTTGAAAAAATAAGGAAGTTGCCAAATGTTTCCAGAGCAATTGTGTTTTCCTTGCTGCAGCTTCGTTTCTTGTGACCACAGAGACGTTGATATGTTGGCACTGCTTTTTCCTATAGTGACATCTCAGCAAGCTCAAAGATGAAATGTAAATTCTCAGTCTCCCATGGGTACGCATGTCAAAGTCAATTTTGAGTTTCTTTCCTTGCATTTCTTGCCTTGAATTTACTCAGAGGCAAGATCCATCAGAAAGGATGTCTAATGCCAACTTCTATTAATGCCGTAGTCTAAGTTATTATTTTTGCTCCGTAGTTTTGAGGGAAACATTAATATTTTGGAGGTTTGAAAAAATACGTTGCTCCAGCGAGAGGATTCTTAGTGTTGTTCATGTGTCTGTTTCTGTCTCTCTGTATGCAGTCATGTGTATGCGTATGCAGGTTTCTGTATGTATCTATAAAAGCTTTCCTGTGGGAATCTTTAACGGAATAGTTACAGAGCTGTCTTGGAAATATAATCAGTGACAATCTTGCTATTTCTCTGCTTCAGATTCTAACACAACTGTCAATCCGTTGGTGTAATTTAAGAGCACAGACATTTTGCTCTTTTGATTGCCAGCTCTCCAGAGAAATAGTTAGCTCTCCTCCCTGTACTTTTCCCACCTGTTCGTAGTTGTCTATATCTGGAGTTAGCAGTTGTCGTGGTGTTTTGTCACCACACCACACAAGGTGATATGTGGGTACGTCGCAGTGACATTGTGAGGCATCATCCCAACTTGACTAGTAGGGAACTCACTTCAAGTATTCTCGTGCTGATATTGCGATTTTGTTTTAAGGCTGTTAGTCACAGCAAATGGTTGGTAGGGTTCCTCTGCACTGTCCAGGGCAGATGGATGTGGATATTTTTAGCTGCAACCTGTAGGTATGAAATCTGCTGTTACTTAAGTGATAAAGTTGCTGAGGGTGAGTAGCTTCGTTGCTGTGCTCTTGTCCTTTGTGTGTGGTTATTTTACCTGTACTGCCTCATCTCTAACATAAACATGTTTACTTCAAAAGGATGCTATTATACTTTGTTTTTGCCTGCATTCTTTTTGTTTGCAGCTCAAGAAGTTCATAAGAACTCCAGAGATCCCTTCAAAGCATGTGAGAAACTGGGTCCCCAAGGTTCTAGAGCAGCGACGGCAAGGCTTGGAGTTGTACTTGCAGGTAAGTCTCCCCTCAGCACAGTGAAAGTAAAAACAGCATCCCTTCTTAGAGTGGTAGTAAAAAAGCATTTGAAAGTATGAAACGGAGTGTTTTACTCAGGCAATTTTAGAGGTGGGAAATGAGGTGGATACTTACTAGTGGTGACGATTTCTGTTCATTTAGCAAGGCTAGCAGCTAAAAATCCAGACTCTCTTGTACTTTTTTCCTGATGCTGGCAAAAGCTGCTGACTGACTTCGGCAAACCTACTAGAACCTCACTTGCCTGTGCCTAAAATGGTGAAAATAATGTTCTTTCCACAGTTGTTCTGATCATATCAATGAAGAGCGTTGCGGAAGAGACACAAGGAGGCTTTATTTAACTCCCCCCTATTTAGACAGACTAGGGAAGAATCAGTTCATCAAATTCATATCCCTTTACCGTACATGCCTGTATCTGAATTGTTCACCTAATTGAAATGGGCATTTGTCACCCCATATTCATTTTAGTCAGTGTGAAGGCTTGCATTTCAAGTCCTTAATTCTACCTAGTTGGGTTCTGATTTTGCTACGGACTGCAAAAGGAGTCTTCATGAATGACTCAGATACATAGACGTCTAAATATACCAGTGATGAATCCCAGCCTTTTTAATAAAAAGAATTTCTGCTCTCACCATGATTGCTTTAAGAATGCCCTGTGGTGTAGTTTCATAGCCATTTTTCTGGTGACAAAGCCAGATTAAGTTATTCCTGTGCATGTTCCCAGTTGAGTATACCTATATACTGATGCAAGTCCTGTTTTATTGAAGGAGATTATAGAAATTATCTGAGCCAAAAGGTACTTGTTTTGAGGGTAAGGCAAGAGTGAGAGTATTCTATTTTTACTCAGGTCAGAGTAGTAAAAATTTCAGATACCTGATTTATGTCATCATCCACAGTTGCAGTTGCACAACTGGAAGAACAGTGATCTGCAACATAATGGACAGTTAGCTGCATTCATGGAAAACAGATGGTAACCTGCACCACTCAGTAACCTCCCTGATTCTCAGGAAGGTTTGTAAAGGAAAACTGCTCAAGGAGGAGAACAGTTATAGTGTGACATGAAACAGTATTATTTCTGACATTAAACTTTTAAAAAGAAATTTGGAACTAAGGAGGAAAACACAGCTCAGAATCTGTCCTAAGACATCAGGAAGATTGCAGGCAACATAATTGATTTTTATTTTTTATTTTTAGTTAGTTAGTATTGTTCAATTCAAAAATTTAATCCTTTTTTCCTTCTTGCTCCGTTGTACCTTTGACATGTAAAAATTGCATTTATTGTGAATGTGAAAAATACTTGTGTTGGAGAGACTTTGGTTTTGTAAAGGACTAGGGCTTTTTTGGTTTTGATGGCTATCATCACAGCTTGCTCCATCATCAGTATGTTTTTCTCTTAAAGCCATTTGCTGTGATTTTTAATTTTATTTCTGATTTTCATGGAACTATCTTTTGGAGAGTATCACTACTATGGCACGCACATACATGTACCAATTTCTCTTATGAGGTGGATTTTGTTTAAAAGATACAGGGGTAAATTGGTCAGTCCTTTTTAATTGCTGATAAACTTTAAAAGAATATCTCCCCCTACTGGAAGAGTCAGTCAACTCTTGTTCTTGTGCAGTCCTGACCATTTCATTAACTTTTTCCCTCTTCTGTCACCGTTGGCTATCACAGGAACATGCAGTGGTTTAGGCTGGAAGGGGTTGCTGAACATCATTGATTAAAACATGACAGGTCTCTGAATTATATCCGTATTAATATGCACACTAAATTAAAACAAGAATGAAAGTCATTATTATTCTTGTCAAAGTCATTAATTTCTGTTTCTGCTAAAGGAAAGCAGTACTAATAATCAGCGAAATGTTAACTTTTAAAATAATGAAAGCTTGATTTTAGACAATTACTAGTTCATATTAAGGCACTGCAGTTACTAGAAGTTTTCTGATAGTGCCAAGCATTTTCCAAATCACGGTGTAGAATGTGCTGCAATTTCAGAAAACATGATCAATTTTTAATTTAACACCATGTACATAAAATATTGCAAGCATATTTTTGGGTAGTACTAATGAGAATCAATCGGTAAGAGCAGTTTGGCTACTAACATCACTAGTTAGAGGTAGTACTAGTATTCAGCTGTTTGTGCAGCTGGCTAAGAATTATGGAGGCATGGTAGTCATTAACTGTTTTTTTCAAAACAAGGCAGAATCTCTTACAGAGACTGAGTATTTACACAGATGTTACATTCAAATAATTTGTTTTATGCAAAACATATTAATTTCACATTATTGCACTTTAAAAACCCATATAGGCAAGCAGTAACATGCCATGAAGACAGCAGTCAGATACAGAACTGAGTCTGACATGATCTAATCATACTGGGTTCTTCATATAATTTTAATTATTTAGTCTTCTATAGTTAAGTGCAGATAAAAATAATGACATGAAATTAGAATAGAATCAGTCTGCATCATGTAGTAAAGAAAGCAAGAAATTCCCATCTGAGCTGGATGGTGCTGCTGTTGCCAGTACCTTGTTACTTCCTTGTGACCTTTTCATCCTGAAACTGCCCTCTTAAATCCCTTCAGCATAGATTGTTTCTTGGAGCATATAGGCTACAGCTCAGAAACATTTCATTATATCTCTCTGAAGAACAGTAAAATTAGGAATAAACCAAATATGAAATTCTGAGACACAATTTTCTAAAATTTATCAGTATCCACTGTCAGCTAATATTCATCAGATGGATTATTTTGCTGTTCTTTTCAAAAGGCTAAGTGGGGACTTCTTGTTATAGTAGACCAATTTTCATGGAATTGTGAAAGAATGATTTATCTCTATTATTTTTAGGTGACTTTCATATTTTACAAGTTTGACTAGAATTTACAACTTTTCTTTTTAATACCGGGGAACAATTGACTAGTAGGCACTGGCATGTGTAGTAATTCAACTGCATGTATAATAATAATACAGAGCCCTTGTGAATACTGAGAATAATCAACTGACTGACAAGAGGAAAGAAGAATTATGTTTAATTTTTTAATGAGGAAACAGATGTGGAGATAAGTGAATGACAGAGGGTGGCCCCAAACACGCAAGCAAATCAGTATCAAGCCACAAACTACTGCACTTCTGCTGATCCATGGTAACTGTTTTTATGTGTGATCTTAACCCACAGCACACAGGACATAAGTTGAGCTGGTTTAGCCTTCACTAAATAAGAAAATGCCTGTTAGCAACAGTAGAAGAGGACTAAATCAGCTCTAATTACCTTGTGGTGACTGTAAGCCAAGAGTTACCTTAAATCAGTCAGTGTGTGATCTAAGTACAGACTTAATTGTTATTCATTTGTATATCTGATTTTGTAGGTTGTAATATGAGATGAGAATTCAGGTGGTTTTGATTTAAAATTTGTGAAATAAAACATTGGATTATACTATTGATGACATAAATGTCTCTGGCAGTTATATGAGATTTCATCAAGGTTTGCACTTAGCTGTGACTTGTTTATTGTTATGAAATGGCTTCTCTTGATATGTTTCCTGAAGAGGCTGCTGTTGAGAAAAGGTGGATGATACAGGTTTGAGGTAGCTGTTGTGTAGGGAGCCTCTGATGTGAGAAGGACTGCTAACTGGACCTGTGATTCCTGATAATACGTTTGTGAGCCTGGAGAAATATATTTGCTTGAAAATATCAGAAGGTGAAGGTAAATGTGGAAGATGAAAGGGCAGACTGTTAATCAACATTGTAGCTTCTGGTGGTGGTGGTTTGGTTTTTTTAATCAACTGTATCACCTTGGACTGGCTGTTTATCACAAAGCTATAAAGACATATGGTCTGCCTTGGAAGTGTATTTAAAGGAGATGTAGATTACCTCAAATGCTCTTTCCTGCACAGTTCTTGTTGTGTATGAATTTAGGAAGTCATGGATGGGTGGGTCAACTGAGCAGGTAGTTGGGGTTTTATTTTGGACATCGAAGATGTGGTGGGGATTCCTAAGGGCAGCAGTGAGAGACCTTATCTAATTGGTTATTGAAGCAGCTGCAGCTGCATTGTCAATCTGATCAGTATTTGTTACAAATAGATTTTATATTATGTGCTTCTGGAGGAGCAGTTTTTATGGAGCTTGTTTCCAGTGAATTGGTAATGGGGAAGAATTTGATCTTGCCACCTGCTCTCTACTGATTTGGAGTTAGGTCATATCCTTGTCCCAATAAGATGACACTGGATGTTATTGCCATCCAGTCTCTCTGCCTCTGGGACTTGCCCTTTGACAGGCCTGCCTTTTAAAGTTCAATGGAATAGATATTTTCTAGCCCCCTTGGACAGAAGAGATCTCATTCTTTGCTGATATCATCAGTCCAACAAGATAACAGGCATCATTAACAGAATTTGCTGTGAAGTAGCACCCACTCCTCAGCATGAGACTCTGTAGCTGCTGCTAGTCTTCAGTGAAATGATTCAGTTGTGGAGAGAGATTTTGGAGGAGGCCTATGTTTTTTATGAGCTTGAGGATACTAACTGATTTCTTGTGGTCTGGGTGACCTGAAGAAATTCTTCTTGTGACTGGCAAGAAAGACTCTAATAAAAACCAGAGGGCTGTAAACCTTCTGAACTGCTGTGTATGTATGTAGGGTCTGTAGGTACATATGTCTCTAACCAGAGTTAATATGTAGAGCTAATATTTCTCTCTTGGCTGAGGTCAAGAAAACATATTTGCCTTTTATTTACTCTTGAACTTTTTACAAAGAGTACAGTCCTGATTCCTGGAGATAAGACTGGTTAAAGTGCTGCTTGGCTGTGAGGCTTGAAGACTTGATGAACTTCAACATTCCAGCAATTTCAGGAATCCAAATCTTCAAAATGAATTATGGAGTTTATGAAACTGGACAAGAGATTTGTTTTCCATTTAAGGAAATAATCTGGAATCTGAGAAGCACTTTGACCTATATTTCAGTATTCTTCAAAATGCAATTCTCTAAAAATATTTTAACTACCAGTCCTTCCTGAAAAAGATAAATAAAACTGTATCTGTTATGATTTTGCTCTTAAGAAAGTAGAATCTGTTCCTATATTCCTTCACTGTCTTAGTTTCCAGCAGGGTGGAGTTAGGAAAACAGTGGATGGAATGATGAATAATATGTAGTTGCTTTATGAGTAAGTTCATCAGAAATATAAAAGAGAAAATTACCCATCATTATATTGCCTTTTTCTTCTTTTTTTAGGGAACAGTTCAACAGCAACTGCAAAAACTAAAAACAAATGAGCTAGTTCTGCAGATAGTGACTGCAGAAGGAAAACTGTCTTACAGAAAATTTGGCCCAAGGTGTCACTTCTTCGTGGGCCATGGTGGTTTTCTTTAATTACTTCAGTAATTGTTGATACTAAATTCTTTGTGGTAAAGTTTAAATAAATAAATAAATAGATTTTTTTGACTGGACAATGTATATGAACAAACCAGTAAATCTAGGTAGAAGGATTAAAAAACCTTCCTTAGCCCCCCTGCCCCCTCCCAAAAAAAAAAGTTATTATTTCAGTCATCAATTCTAATTGTATTCTAAGAGCTTTTGAACTACCCTCTTTTAAGTTGATCTGGTTATGTGTTGTTGTTTCATAAAAGTTTTAGATTCAGTCAAAAAAAAAAAAAAACAGAACACTGAAAGGATCTTTTTGTTGATTTGGAAACTGTTGCAGAGCATTTCAGAGCAAATACAGCGTTTCATATTACAACTGAGGATAAGAATCTTCTGCTTTCTTTGAGTGTCAGTCATTGCCCCTTTTTGTTATCGTTCTAGGGAGTGAGATAATTTGATTTCTCAGGGTTTTTTTATCTAATTGTGCACAGAAAGATTTTTCCATCACCTAGCGGGAAGTTTCATTAGTTCTTCACTGCTTAACTGATTCAATTTCTCTTGGCCTCTTGCTATTCTAACAAGGAGGAATGTGAACTCAGTCATTTATAACCTTGTCCATCCTCAAGTGAAGAGATCTCTTCTCTAAGAAAGGCCATCTAGACTCCTCATGCTATTCTGCAAGTACTCCACATTGTGCACTGGTTAGAACTTTGCCTTTCAATAGCCCAGTACTCCTCCTCTGTTACTGTAGCTGTGTACTGCCTCAGAGCTGTCTTGGCTGGAGTAGGATGAGAAAGTGGGGAAAACAAATCCTTGGTAGTGCACAGGATTTTTCACTTTTTTTTCTTTGTGAAGTGTAGGAAAAAATGTCACATGGTCCCATAGGATTTCATATAAAGACAATCTTGGTTTGTGGGTTGGTTGAAGCTGGCATGGTTCTCCAGGGTCAGAAGTAATCTGTGAGTGCTTTGTAAGTGGAACACTCATTGATCTTACATTATCAATGTTAAAGAAGAAAAAAAGTATAATGTCTGTAAAGGTAGGCATTTTTTAAGTAGTAGCGTTGAGACTGTTTAGGAATATTGAGATCTCTGTATGTGATATGGGCACTTTTATGAGACGTTGCTTTTGCCCAATAAAAATAAATCAGGTTGGTTGCTATTTAATTTTGGGAATGTAATGGCAAAATGATCTTAGAACTGTTCAGTGATTGTTCAGCTATTCAAATTTTATTTCTATGCAGTTCACATTCATCACATTTATCCACACTGCCAATTTTAATATTCATTACAATTGTTCTTCCTTTACATTCTCAAAAATGCATTCTACATGAAGCATTTAGTTATTGTTGTATACCTGTGTGTCTTTGCTGAAGGGTGTTGTGAATGCAAAATTTTAAATTAATCCAAGGGAATATTGGAGAGGTTCGTAGAAGAATGGTTTATATCAGGCCTGGAAGGCCCTCAAGCTAGAACTAACTTTCAGTGCTGCTAGAATATTGAAGGAAAGTGTCTCATATGTTAGTCTTGCTTATTCATACTCTTCCTTGGTATCCATTTACAGCTATTTTTGAAGATAACTGTAAGGATACAATGCTAAATGGACCTTTGTTCTGAATCATTATGACAATATTTCTTACACAGTCTTTAAACACATACTTGTGTTTCAGCTTGTTGTTAGATTTGATTAAACATTAACATATTTTCGTGAACTGAGAACTATATGTATCACAAACACTATTCTTAAAAGAAAGAAGGATGAATCATATGGCTGAGAAGTTGTGGTTGCATCATATTGATATAATGAAGAGGTATGCAGTTCAGATGCAACGGTGCAGAGCCTCTTGTAAAAGGTAATGCCTTTTAAGACCAAATACTTGACACACGGGAAGTAATTGGCTGTATATTTAAAAGCTGAACTCAGAGAAAGACATTTTAAGCTATAAAACTTTTTTTTTCCCTTCTTCAAAATGTAGGCCTATATGTGTTGTTCTCCACCTTACTCTGTGCTTGCCTGACCTGCAATTTTTTTCCCCATAAGGCTTCTGTTTAACCATTCCCCATATCTGAGAGGAGGAGGTGGACAGAAATCACATTGACTTCCTTGTGTCATTCATTAACCACCACTAAGATTTCTGCAGAGACAGTCCTTCCCTTTGTCCTATGTACACATTTGCTGTTGGGATCTATTTCTATCTAATTTAAGACCAAATTGGTTTATTTGCAGAAAACAAAACAAAACAAACCCAAAACAATTCCCATCAAGTCCAGAAGAGATGCTTATCTTCCTGATTGCTGTTTTTGAAAACCAGTTTTGTTTTAAATGCAGGTGAATACACTGGTAAGAATGAATCTAGCATTAGGAAGTTGCAAGTAAAAGTGGGATCCAGTGAAATAACATTTAACTGATGTTTTGCTGGAACGTGTGTTGAATCACCCACATCTATTAATCACATTGAACATTCTCCCCATTATCCAAAATTATTCAGTGTCTTCCTTCTCTTAACTCCATTTAGTCTGCAGTAATCAAGGTTGAACTGTACCTGTAAGGAGCTCTAAAAGCAATGGTATGATAAGTATAAAAAGACAAAATGTTCTTTGTCCTCATTAAAGGCTGTAAGCAGAGTGTTAAATAATATTAATGGCTGGGATTGTCAGTACTTAACAGTACTTTCCTAGTACAAGTGATTTTATTGATCGATACAGTCTCAATGTAACAGGGCAGATTATTCTACTGATTTTATCGAAACCTTAACTAAGTTTGTTAGTGTACTACGTATCTTTAAATAGATCTAGATGATGATGTAGATTAAGAAAAGCAGACCACCATCCATCTTTTTTTGATCGGTTAATAACTTAAATCCATCATTGCTACAACCAGCTTTTTTAAGATTCTCTTGTGCATACATGTTTCTTTTGTGGTGCAGATACCTAGCTGGTTTTAGATGGCTGTGGATTCTAAAGAAGTGTGCTTGACACAAGCAGGATTGCATATTTGTTAAGAGAAGGCAGAAAGCAAGACAAAACAGGAAAGCAAAATAATTCTATAGATAATTTAAAGGAGAGCCATTTATTAAGAGTGTCAGTTTGCAGAGGTGTTTCCTGCAGAAATATTTCAAGCATTTTTCAAGCGTGGTTAGGAAAATTACCTGGTTTATATTTTAGCAGTTACACTTCTTGCTTTTGAGGTGGTGCTATGCTATGGTTTATGATTAATACTTTTTTCTTCATCTTCAGAATCTATTCGGTTTTGCTGTATAGAATTGTGCAGCATGAACTTCTCTCTTGTTTAACTCTCACATGTTGGAGCTGATCAAAATCATTTTTACTCAGTTAAAAGCAGAATCTACATTAGAAGTCATGACAGGTTTAGAAACCATGTCTAAGTGCTCATTCTCTTTTCGTTATGCTGTATGTCATAATGCTATTGTATCATATACTTTCATCCAAGTGAAGATGAACATCAAACTGTACTAACAGTAGGTTTCTATATAGTGAGAAATGGTGTCTTTCATGACCTGCATACGAATCAGAATAACTGCTAAGATATTTTAAGATGAAGGAGAAAAAAAAAAAAAAAATTCTTTGCCTGAGGTGTCACAGCCTGTTAAAGCAGAACTAAGGATATTAAAACTCGAATCCTGGTGCACTGCTATAGTCACAATAGTTTGCTGATGTCCAATTGTTCTAACAGTCATAGTTCTGTCTAGGGCAATAAAGAGTGTGAGACACTTATTTTGTTTAGCCAGGATGAAAGAATAAATGGTCACCTTCCTTATCCTGAAGGCAACTCCTGTTGGATGTGTAGGTGTTAAGTTTTCTTTTTCCTTAATAAATATTGAATGGATTTGCTGGACCTTCTTTGGTGGGGAGGAAATTAGGTCAAACTATTTTTGTCCGTTATAGTAAAGGAAGGAAGGAGGAAGCTACTACTCCTGCAAAGAGGCTTTATTATCACCACCTATGTGTAGTAGAAAGACATAGCTTCCTGGATCTTTTTAATCAAACTACAGCATTTTAAAAACATTTTCATTTCCTACTCTGTTTTCTTTTACATAAGCTAATTCTTTTTTTTTTCCTTTGGTGTAGAAATGACTATCGCTTTTTTAAATTGTACTTTCAAAGCAACCTAAGTTGTCAGGGCTTTTTCTTCAAAATTAATCTATAAAGTTACTTAATGAATTGCCAATGAAAGGGAAAACTTATTTTCTAGCAAAAAAAGTGTTTTATTATTGGACGTGCAGTGCCTCGTGCTGTTTTCTGTTACGGTTGTACCATAGTGTACAGTGCTAAATTAACATGTAGCTTAGACCTAGGTCTGCCAAGTCATTGCCTTTATGCAATCTGATAGTATTCTTTTGTCTACATTCTTTGTATGACTGAAGGCCAGTCATTAATATTCTTTATGCATTTATAAACTGCACATGAGGGCTGGGAAAAGAAGTTCTTTAAGAAGTGAATAATTTTGCCTTTAAAGCGGGATTTGGATTTGTACACAGGCCATTTTTGGAGGTGAGGGGAAAAAAATGAAATATTGAATATATGCTGAACAACTTAATACCATCCAAAATAAAATAAATACTTAAACATAAGGAAGCTGAATTGAAGTTTGGTAAACTTAAGCGGACAATTCCTCCTTCTGAGATGTGCCATAGTAACTTCAATGTTTTTATTTCATGTTGTTTGGATCACTTAAAAACAAACCAGAAAAACCCAACTGTGGAACTAATCACAAGGTTTACGGGAAAGATACTGAATTAAATAAGCAGTAATTCTTGAGCTCCTGCTTTAAAGGTATTGCAAGGGAAGAGCACAGGAAAGGAAAAATTCTTTTCAAGAACAGCTGCTTTGGCAAGAGGCAAGAGCTAGGCCATCAGTAGCTGAGAGAGGTAAGCAGAGAAGGAGACAACTGGTCTTCCTCAGGTTGTGGGAAGGTGGTCACTGAGCCTTCTCCTTTGGTCCTGCAGTAAATTGGGCTTTCCTGCATTAGATATAATTCCCTTGTGTGTG